CATTAAAACGATGTTGATGGAGCACTCTCTCCAGCCTAAGTAAATGTGCTCAAGTCCATTTCAGTGTGCATTGTTTGGAAATGGATTAGCGAAGTTGGAGGAGTAAAGGCAAGGAAAAGAGGGAATGGAGGAGAAAAGAAAACACGGAGAGGGAGCTCTACATATTTGTCTTCCACACAAAGAAGAAAGTTTATTTAGAATCTCTAAATAGCTTCTGTGAAGTGAAAAAAGATGAGTGAAAAAGGCAAAATGCAGGGTTTTTTTTTTCTAAATTCTGGTAAGCTTATCTGTGATTTTGCTGCATATTAGTGGTGACTGTTGATTGTGCTGTGACAGGTATATGTGTTCTAGATTTTACTCCATTCTGCATCACCATGTCAGTGACAGTCTACATGAAGCTATCTGGCATGTTGGTGGTTCGTATCCTGAGCTGCTGCAAAGACATGACAGGTGTTTCATATCCTACTATCTACACACACACCCACACACTGATATTGCTGAGCCAGGGGACCATAACAGACACCAATAAGTACACACATTACCTGACCACCAAATGTTTATCCTTTATCTTTAAGACCTAGCTGTCATGAGAACATGCTTGTCTCGCTATGACAGCCACGGCGCATCTCCTTTACAGATGCACTTCAAACACATCACTAGCTTGTCAAAGCTGGTCACAACCTGTCACAGGCAGCCACAACCAGGTGGAAACCAGTCACATTACTTTAATCTTACTCTGGTGACATACTGTATGGCAAAGTCTGTTCGAGGTATGCTGAAGGGAATCATGTGTGCAAAAATGGCTTGCTGCGTGAGCTACAATCGTTAAAATAACCAAAAGGAGGGGAGGAAAAAAAACAAGAAAGGAAGCAAAAATTCTGATGTGATCAAATTTAGTAAACAGAAGAAAAAACACAATACGAGGGCGGGTGTGAAAATCAAAAAAACAAAACAAAAATCAAAAGCAGCTTACTTATTTATTACAAGCTAGACTCAAACCTCCCAGAAATTCAGGCACTGAATGTCACCCAGTTTGTTTGTTTTTTTATTGTTGTTGTTGCGTTTTTTTATTATTACCGAGGGAGTATCACTTGGTATCGTCAAGGCCTAGACGTTGTGCAGGTGCAAATCTTGCTGTGCATTTTGGCTCATCTACACACAGATTCTCAGTTAACTGTCCAAGATAATTGGAGTGTGTGAATTCTGCTTAAGGGGCAATATTTCACTTCAAGGCAAACAGAAAACAGCTTGTTCCTTTTTCAGTAGCCCACACAGTATTACAAGCACCCAACCCCCTACGCACCCCAATGCTTCAAGGCTACGCAAAAGCATTTGTACTTTTGTGTTGACATTAGGTCTATTTTAATTCCCAACATCACTTCTGCTACCCCTCTAACTCGTCTCCCTCGGTATTAATGCTTTTTCTACTGAAAAAAACAAATAAAAAAATAAATACACCAGTGCTTTTTATTATGTTTTTGCCTTCCTCCCTGTATGCATGGACTCCACAGCAATTCATGTTATTAAAGCCGGATTTTGGCAGTTATCATTGGCCCACAGCAGTAATTACTAAGGGTTTGCATAGCTGCCTCTGACTCACCCGCCTTGGAAATGTTATTACTAATGTCTGTCTCATTGGAGGTGCACAGGAAGCTTCTTGTGAAGCCTGTGTCTTTGCTCAGGCCATTCCAACGACACTGAACTCATATCCCAACAGGGTCCTGGGGCATGAGACCAGATGTACAAAGCGAGGAAGGGAGTAAGCAAGTAATGACAAAGCGAGGACGTAATAGAAAGCTATTTTTTTTGTGCTTGGAGCAGCTGTTTTATTTTTGTGTTATTCTGCATTTATTGCTCATCTCATATATGTTCGTCCAGACAAAATAATTGATGTGAAGCATTGGCCCCGACAGTGTGACAGATGAAAAAGGAGAAAATGAGTCATTTTATATTTTTGCAGGGGGCAATGCTTTGCCTTTATCAGTGTAGTTCGATTGCCCTAAGAGAAAAGAAAGAGCAAGAGAAAGTGCCCTTGGGTCTCAGTTTAGATGAAACGATTCAGATATGAACTAGTCTTGAGATATGAGAAAAGCGCTGAAGTCAGTGGGGTTATATAGCCTTTATTCATCTATTGATCTCTTCCTCTCTTCCTTTCTTGCTTGTTCTCTCATTTTGTGCGTGTCACACACTCCCGCAATCACACACTGCAGCATTGTCTACTTTCTTCAGTGCTTTTTCTTCACCGGCTGATGCTCTCAGTCAGAGCGTTGTCTCTGCATCTAGCACCACTCAAGGTCAGATATTAAACCTCTTTTCGGGGTCAGCAACGTCTCCAAGGTCAAAGAGGTGCTCGCTAATGAGGTCAGCCTCTCCACCTCTTGCAGCGCCATGTGACAGTGTTCTGTAATCCAAAATTAAACACAGACATTCATGCATGAATAAGCCTGTTTAGCATTAGTATTGTTCAACATTTCATGTGAGCCAGCATTATGAAAACACCCCAAATCACCATTTTTTTCAGTGTCTTACTCATTTCCCTTTTTTTTTTCTGCCTCCACCCGCCTCTCCCTGTGGTTCTTCTCTTCTCCTGTCGTTCCTAGAAAGTCAGCAGGGAACAGGGTGGTCTGTGTAGGTTTCTCCTGGGTTTGTTTCCAACAGCAGCTTATCTGCAAATGCTCAGGTTCAGCTAATTGGCATTATTAAACTGATGGCAAGCTCAACTCAGCTATAAGGGAAGGTCCAGTGGGAGGTGTGTGTGTGTGTGTGTGTGGCACAATCCTCTCTGTGCCTGTGCATATGTTATCCCACTGCGCCTGTATGTGTGAATGTGTGCACGTGTGTGTGATGGGAAACAAGCAGCTGTCAATTTCAATCAACAGGGTGCATGGTTTGCCTGGGGGCTCACGTAGCCCAATTACAGGCAGAGGTGTTCGGTGTATGCACAGAAAACCGGTCCTATCTTCTTTTATTAAAACTGGAGTATGAGAAAGGATATACTAAATGCAAAGTTGGTTGATGAGTGTTGAATGCTGCTGATACTGAGGCAGAATCCTCCCTGTTTTTTTGGCTGCACTTGCTGGATGAGAGAATAAAGAGTTAAAGGGATGG